ATATAAAAATATAGATTAAAGATATAAAACTATAAAAATATAGATAAAATACAGAAAATAAGATTATAAAAAATAGATAACTATAAATGTTATAAAATATAGATGAAACCATGTTAAAAATATAGCAATTTACTATAATACAGCGGTCTTTGAACGAGACGAGAAAAATCGCTGGTGGAGAGTATTTTAAGCTCTTTAGAACAAAGAAGCATATTTTCTGATGCAGCAGCGGCAAATGAATTAACATCTTCCTCGGTGGCGTACCAACGTAACGATCGGCCGAGTTCTCGCGCGTCGATCATAATTTTCGAGCCGAGAGCGGCAATAATAAATGCTGCTTTACGCTATGCCTGTTACCCGACCGGGTATGCATACGAATGAGGTTTCAATGAACGCGCCCATCAAGACGAGAGGTAAAGCAGCAGGTTTCGCGGCATCTCTCGACGATTACGTACTTACGGCGAATCTGACCACGAGTCTCCTCTCGAAGAAGGACAGAGGAAAGGGAGAAGATCCTGGGAGAGTAACGAGTGCCATAAGGTCGCCCGGAGGCGTAGGGCAACCGCTATGAAATTATGCGGGAGATGACGGACAACGAAAGGGAGACGACGGCGTTGTAGAAACGTCAGGGAAATGCGGGAGAAAATTGAACGCATGAATTTTACGAAGCGCTGATTTAATTCGGAAATCGATCGCATATATGTAATATAACAAACTCAATTTTGTATATAAACTACGTTCTTTATAATCTTCAGAAAAGACTTTTTAAAATAATTTTTATTATATAAAGCATTAATTATATAAAATTGTGCACCGCATTTTAGGGTCATTAGGGCCATCGCGATCGATTATAAATTTTTCACTTGTCGAAATCATTTTTATTATTCATTGTCTCTCGGTGGATCGCGTTTGCGTGAGAAACCCAGTTTCTTTCCCTTTCCCGTTTTTGACCTCCTCGTTGAAAGGGGATTGGGACAGATCGTGGGGAAATTCGCGGATTCGGATGTGAGTGACATGTGTCAGTAGGTACACCGGTACCCTCGGGACCGGGCTGGAAGTTAGGCCACTTTTTCTGCCAGTTACGCACACATACGCGCTCGCGCGCACGACAGAGAGACACAGTCGTCCCGGTCTCGTATTATAATCATTCTGTACCGATCGAATGTTCCTTCTCGCCGCTCTCTAAGGTGGGAATATAGATACGATTCCGGATACACAATGTCGCGTAATTGCAGACAGGTGCTGAGAACCTCGTCAATTCCCATCGTTGTCATCCTCGCGCGATCGCGATACGTGATACAGCTCTACGTCTCACATGTACGGACATTACGTAAGACTTTTAATATGTAAAGCGTAAACTTAGAACTAATTAAAACATCATGTAGATTATAATGATACGTAGTATATAGTTTGAACTGTACATTCCGGAGTCATTTTCTCATCCGGATAACTTCTTCCCCCTCTTGGAAGATATAACAGATGGTTATATAAATATTTATAGATATACATGTCTTGTTATACACACTTGCGACAATCGCGATCTGCAAAGGGAAATCGAGGATAAAATCTTTCTTTTTAAGTCTTTTTAAGCGTCTTATAAACATGAAGAAGTCACTCTTAAGACATAAATGAGATTCTACAATTGTACTTAATTAATTGCTCATGCGCATAGTAAAATGCGGATAATGAGAAATTATGGAAAGCGCGTATCCCAGGTTTGCGAACCAGTTCTACGTCTTCAACGAGAGCGCGCGTCGTTGTAAATAAATCTCGGGACCCTCGCACGAGAGAGAAAACCCTCGCTCGGGCGACAAATAAATACAAGCGATGCAGGGGTTGGCCTCCCTCGCGATGCGACGACGTTGGTAAGAAGATTTGTAAAAAAGAAAAAAAAAAAGAAAGCGATTCGCTCTCTTTACGACAGCTTGTTAGGGTCCATTATTCTTCCTTCCAAAAGCCTTTCTCTCCTTTTCTCGCGAACATCGCGCCCGGCGGATTCTCTTTTAATAAATTTAACGAGGGAGTCGATATTATATACGCGAATCTATCTTTATCGAAACGCGGTGAAGTCAAGATTTCCGCCTCTCGAGAAAATTCGCGAATCTATTTTATCCGTGTTTCTTGATGGCGTCGACCTTCTATCTTATATCGTTCTCCGCAAATATATATCCCGATAATCTAATTATTTCGTTCAAGAAAAAGCTCTGCGGATAAGCCGCATCCATGTCGTCGATTTGACACTTCGAATCGCTTGTAAAATTTATATCACCCCTTCCTATTAGCTCTTTCTCGATAAATTTTTGCTTTATGATCGCAATCGCGTATTTCGGTCTTCATCTGAGAAAAGCGCGAATCTGTTTGGAAGTTTCAAAGATTTATCGACGTCCTACTGTCAACATTTCTTATATTTGTTAGACCACATCCGGTTTTTTATCGAGAATAGTCTAATCTTTTTTCTCTTGTGTTCTCTTTTTCTCTAATACTATTTTACATAATATTTTAATTTAATAATTAAATTTAATACATTTATACACATTTTAATTTAATAATTAAATTTAATACATTTAACCACTTTAATATAATAACTAAATTTAACATATTTACATAATTATTTTTTACGCATGATATAAATATTATAACAGTATAATTTTTTTGTAAAAAGTCTATAATAAAGGAACAACTGGCACGGGGATCAATATGAGAAAATCAATGATTTTCTCAAAAGACACAAGGAGCATTTTTGCGTAAGCTCTCGATTGGTACTTTGGTACTTAAATGTATCCTATTCATAATCGTTCGATCTTCTCCGTTTCCAATCAACGCGCTCGTAATGACGCCACCGTGGGTCACCCGGTAGATTATCGTTCTCATGTCAATACGGTTATCAGACTACTCGAAGATAATAGGCCACTCGACGAGCCGACTCAAGTGGGCGCGCGGGAGATTTCACTGGCGTAGAATTTTTTTCCGATGCATCGAAAGTGATTTTTAAGGACATGCTTTGCATTCAAAAGACATTTTTATACATAGCAAAGATTATTTATATAAAAATAACACGAATCCATTATGTCTTATTTATATCATTTTATTTTTTAACCTAAAAGATTGAAAAATAAAACTAATTAATCCGAGAAAATTATTTTTTAAGTATTTCTCACGATTAATTTTATCCATGTAATATCCCACGCATTACTCTTAAAAAAAAAAGTCTTTAATAATTCAAAATTATTTTTCTTGCCAGTTTGATGATATCGAGAACAATTGATCTTTCTTTACGAAATCAATTTGTCACAATTTTTGCAAGGTACCGACATTTCGAATAATATTTTCCATCGCAATAGAAATCGATGGCAAATAAAAAAATCCATCGTGTTCTCGATGAATAGATGAATATTTATAACCACGCGTGTATATAACGCGTATTTACAATGCTTGCGCAAGAGATATGGGTTCAAGGTGTCGCGGATCGTGATGTGCATTTTGACCGACTATAAATACTCGTGCGAGAGATTCGTCGTAATTCATTCGCGAGCGCATTTCTCTCCTCTCGAAATCCAAGGAATAATAATCCCGCGCGAATCGCGACGGACAGAGTTTCGCGGGAAAATCTCGGCGATGAGAGAGTGAAAGAGAAAGAGAGAGAGACAAGAATTAAGAACCGTTTTGCGGATCTCAAGGAGTGTATTTTATGACGCGTCCGTTTGCGACGTTTGAATTGTCACGTCGGCTATCGGTGGGATAAAAAATAATTTATCGCGCTTTTACACACGCACATACCGGAGGAATGAATGGTGCAACTAACGTCAATCATTCTCGACTCGTCAGTCCTGCCAAGAGATGCGATACATCGTTTACGAGCGACGTTGAGGACTGTTTCTTCCTCTTTCTTTTTATCTCTCTCTCAGTACTTATTACACCTTGCATCTCTTGATCCTTGTTATTCCTAATATTTGTAATTTCCTATTAAATGCTAAATTTACTATTGTAATCCCATCTGCTCTTGAAAGGTCTTGTGATCAAAGTGCCGAATAAATGACATTCTCTCTCTCCTTAAAAACAAGTTAAATTATCGCAGAAGATTTTAGTCTGAAACTAAAACCGCGAGCACAGTTCTTCCGCGAGTCGATGCAGAGTTGATGCACGTTGGAAGCCGATGGACGAAGTCAAGGGTCGCCGATGGTTTCATACCACAAATTGAGGTAACGTACGAAAGCGATAATTCTTTCATTCCCTATCGTTTTTCCCTCCGTGAATCCCGTTTCGAATAGATGCCGATGTCAGATTCGACGGGAAACTGGATGGAGCGGCCACCAATCTCGCGCCGGCAATGACGATCATTTTCTTCTTTCCTCTTTCTTCTCCGACGAATGCAAGATGCCAATTATATGCGCTTGATGATTATTGCGCGAGTCATTTCTCTCCTTCCCTTCCCTTTGGACGAATGTCTCAGTGCATGCGATGGAATGAAGACAGTCCAGAGAATTATTAGTTATACGTGTAGATTATACGCTTATATATTCTTAATTCGATATTAATTTTAATTATCTTCCGTTAATTAATTGCCTGCTGAAAACGGATAAACACGTTTCGTGTATTATAATTTTCGAGAGAAAGCGTTGATCACAACAGAAACTAATTACAAATTCGTATGTATATACGGTAGCAAAATATCTTTTAATCAATTTTATAATACAGTATGGAATAATATTTTTTTTATATTGCAAGTTTTTATTGCAAAGAAAGATTGTATTTGTAAACTGCAATATATATAACTAATATATGTAATAAATGTAATAAATATAATAGACTAAAATAATTATCTCCAACAATTATTCAGGAAAATTTCAATAACTTTAGCGATACAATATGCGAATATGTGATTTTAAACGCTGAAAATGATAGTAGAAACTAAATGTCGCGCTCTGCGGCTGTTTGTTCTTGTATTACTGACAAACATAAAACGATATAGTGAAAAATGCGCAAACGAGAGAAAATATATGACTGACAAAATTATTTGATACTTATGCAAGAGAAAGAATCATATATATTTAAGTTAAATCGATATTATCTCAATTTCTGATATTACTCACGTTAATATATACTGAATAAAGACTTGTTCTTGCAGTCATATATTGATTCACTAATAGTAATACTTTTGTTTTTAACGTCTACTCTATTTATGTACGGTATTTATTCACGTTTACAATTTGCAATAAAGCGAAGAAAACATTGGCAAATTGCGCCTTGCTAATCTCTTTTCTCTATTAATTTATTGTTCTTAATACACATAATAAGTCCATCAATTTAATGAAACAAAGATTCAATTGTTTATGCAAAGAAAGAAGTTTTAATCTATTTAATTAATTTAGGCTTATCAAAATTTCTGAAAACTTTTATGGATTCAATACTACTTATAATACGGGAAACCAAAAATTAGACCACAGTCTGAGAGCTTTTCCATCGCTGTAGGCGACAATAATGATGGTTGAATCACTAGTGTCAAAGTTATTCGAGTTATTTGTTTTACATTATTACGCGGTTTCATCGCAACCGAATAAGTTTCCGCAATTCCGACACGATAATACGTACGAACCTGCAACAGTGCACGGTGTATGTGAGAGGCCCGTGGCGCGTATATAATGCGAGTTTGAAGTTATTCACGCGCGCGGGGCCAACTTGCTCAGAGAGCATCGTCAGGCGCACGATATAATACGTGCGCCACACGAGCGTTTACGTAATTGTGATTACGTGTCCTTGCCTTAAATGCAATTGCCGTGCACAGACATATCTCCCAGCCCGGTCTGTCTGCTGGCTCGTCCGCGACCGCGAGTACCTACACACGCACATACACGCGTGCGGAACGTATTACCGCATCGTTTGACGTGCGCCATTAGTTAGAGAATTTTCTACGGTCATCCGGGCGTACCGGACGCCGCATAATGGCGTATGCAAACTGCGTGGATGAAGAGAAAAGGAGAAAAAAACCGGTTCTCCACGGCGGCGTGCACGAAAGTCGAGACGAGGAAAAAATATCAGCGCCTCGAGAGGGAAGGAGAGGGAGAGAGAGAGAGAGAGAGAAATTCCGTTTAAATGCCGATGCGCAGGACACACGCAGTCCCTTCTCTCTTTTTCTTCCACTGTCTTTCTTTCTTTTTTTTTTATATCGCTATTTTCATTTCGCGCGTGACTTTCTCCCCCACTCCTCTTCACCTCTTCCAACACCTACGCACATCAATGCGTTTGTGCACGCGTCGGTCGATGTTGTTCTCGCGAGAGATTCCCGCAGGGATATCTCCGTATTTTGTTGATATGGTACGCCAATATGGGGTTTCTAACTGCAAATGATATCTTACATAGGTTTTACGTATCGTGATAATTTTAAATCTGATAGGATTTTGACGCAATTGAAAACCTGGTCTCGAGAACGAAGCCGCTCTATTGTTTTCAATGATGATGCAAGTATATGTGTATATATATAGTAGCGATTGCATTATAATATAAATACTTAATCAAACAAGTGTTTTAATGTCATTGTTACACGTGTCATATCTCAGTAATCTTTTATAGATACGTTACATACTAGCAAAGGTATAATTTATCTTCGTAATATTATTGAACAACGTGTATCTGTAGAAAAATATAACGACTACAAATAATAATCACATCGAAAAATAACTTTTTTTTTTTTTTAATTTAGAAAAGATAGTAACTATTCCTCCCCAAACAAAGCTGCAAATTGAATTATTAAAGATTATCATCCAACAAACATTTTTCAATTATTTTTTCAAACCTAAAGATATATTTCGGGTCCCTAAAGATACAAATTTAATGTCAAACCAACTTAAAATAGCGAAATGAATACAGCAGAAATATGAAAATTTAAAATTTTTCTCAAGATTAATATATACATTTTTTTTAAACCGATTTACAATACATTGTTAAAATTGATACATGCAATATGGCGGATTCAATATAGCAGTCATGGAGTAAATAATTAATTACGAGGTTTTTTTGTGGTTTAATAGACCTAAAAAAGCATTTAATCACGGAAATCTTGCTAACTTTAATCTTCACAAATTTTCTTTTAAAAATTGAATGTTTTAACAATGCACAACGCTTTGTTTTTGAAGAGATTAAACTTGGCTTAGGTCGGTACAGATTACAGTATAATAAATAAGAGTTTCTGTTAAATTATGCTATATAAAATATTTTTTATATACAGCGACGCTCTGATCGTGATAAGTCACGAATTTTCAGTTTCAAGCTAGCCGTCTGCCCGATATTTTCATTTTTTATCCATCCATTATGTAAGCGTTCTATATCTTCGGAAAGGATTCCATGAAAAAGAAAATTCGCGACTTCCTCAAAAGAGGCAGCATACATTATCCTCTGGCGGTCGGCCAAGAAAATCGCTCTAGTTGTGCGACTGGTATATACTGGTGATGTTACGAGGAGGGGAAGGATAGGGGGAAAGGATGTGCACACGTGCAATTCTCGCCTACACGCGGTTGTCGTTACCGGAGATTTTCGTAAATTAACGCGCGTTATTCAGCCTCGTCGGACCTAACTAACATCGAGTTCGTAAATAACGCGAAATGGTTTTGTTCACGGGTCTTAATTCGAATTAGAGAACGTGTTTATTTCCGCGTTGCTCTTGAGACACATTAATCTGCTCGTTTGGAAGTTTCGCGAAATTATTCACTCTCGCATTATGTATTCTACAGCGGCCTATCAAATCTATTTCCGGAAGAAAAATTTCTTTTCTTTTTAAATTTTCTATTATCAAATTGCGTAAATTACATGAATTATTTTGTCTTATAATTTTATCTTACTAAAAAAGTAGAGTTTTTCTTATGTTAAGTACTTTATATCTTATAATAATTTTTTTACTTCATATAATTGTTATATTTTATTTTATGGAAAAAGCTGTATTATATGTTTTATGAAACAAGCTGTAGGATTCAGTAGCGCGTGATGCGTAGTAAAATATGCATTTGCCAAGCATGTTCGTAACATCGATGATCTGAAAGACAAGCATGGAAATTTAAGGGGAGTACAAGCGAGTTCTAGGATGTGTATTCCACGCGATCCGTGTTTCCATTCATGTCTCGCTTTCATTAATTTTAATGGTGAATCCGGCTTCCCTCGTCGTTTCTCGTCGATAATCCCAGAACGAGGTACTCTCGCTTGTCAAAAGGATGCTCTCGTTGTAGATTTTTATCATCAAATACACTGGAATGCGTCGAGAAAATGTATCTATGCGGTGATTAAACAGGAGGATATGTTTGATATTTAGAATTTTTCTGCTTTATCGTTTATTTGAGATTACAGTTGTTATTTTAAAAACTATTTTGATAATATTTTATCATGCTGCAACCACGGTATGTGACGTATTGGAAACGTATTATATATTTTATTTAAAATTAAAGATATTGAAGAATGTTATCATAAATACTTATTCTATTGTGGAAAAGCTACTAAATTGAACTGTCAAAGATTATGGACAATTTATCTAATATTTTTCATTCGTTTATTAAAACTTGAGAGGATTTCAGGTCGCTAAATACAAATTTAGTATCAATACAGATTAAAAATTATAGAAATCAATATAATGAAAATGTCAAAATTAAGAAGTTTCCATATTTTTACAAAAATTCATATATAGAGATTATTTAGATTATTGAACACAAATCTGATGCTGATTGATACATTGTGGGATTCAATATGGCGGCCATGGAGTAGGTAATTAACCATGACTTTTCTGTCATTTAATAAATTCAATATTTGACAAACAAGAATCTTATTATTTTTAATCTTCACGATTTTCTTTTGAGGATTGGAAATTTTAACAATATACTTAATTTTAGAAGGAATAATTCTTTTCTATCTTGTCACAAAAATAACATAGAGACTATAGTTATTATATAATAAAAGTGACGTTAAAATAGTCACTCTTTTAACGTGAAATTTTTTAAAATCATGATATAATAAAGAATTGTGGAGACTAAAATTTTATATTCACCATAAAAATAATATAATTATTCTTGAGCTTTTTTTTTTTAGATCTGTGTAATTTAAATTATTCCTAAATTCATTAACTTAACTTTTAGATCAAATTTGATTCAATATTCGTCTAATCATACCACGTATCTCGTGTAACCCGACGCGATGTCTAAGGGTGTAATCCATCTTATTCACA